GCTGTGACTTACATCTACTCAGTAATTCCTTGAACTTGGAGGCATAAGGCAAGAACTTGAGCAGCATATACTTGGTCTGAGCGCCCATAATCATGATGATGCTGTAACACGCGTACCAAGCGTCCACTTACTGCCCTCCTCCCTCCTACCATTTCAGATAAGAAGACTTCTGAAGGTGAGCATATATGCAATGATGAATAAAAGGGAAGGGTAGTGATATGTTGAATCGTAGGTAACTCGAGGCAACGAGAATTCTTCAGTAACACGATTGTTAGCCTGGCGTTGAGTTGTGAGCTTGAATCTTGTGATAGTACTAGTACTAATTAGAGAGGGTTCTTATGTGAGTTTCATTCGATCTATGATCATCTACTATATGCTCATGAACGTTGTGCAGAGAGTTGATAGATCATTCGTTTCCAAGGGCTGCAGGTATGACTTCGAAGCGGGATAGTGCTCTCTTCGCTCCAGGCTCGATTGGTCGGCTTCAAGGGAGCCAGATGAATCGAAATACATCTCACGAATCCCTCACCGCTCACCCTCTTCTGTCTCCACCACCCGCTTCTTCCGCTTCTTCAATATCATCTACCACCTCCCATCATGATACGTCCCCAACCTCTAACACGACGCCCGCACCGCGCTATGTACCATACACGCCTAGGCAGAGGGGCGCCGCAGCTGCGTCTGTAACTACGGGCACGGCAATGCAATCCAGTATTCAAGTATCACCACAGCAGTCTACGTTTCAAGGAGATGCTACGACTAAATTGCAACTCATGAACTTGAAGGCAGCCGCTCAGAAGGGCGGTCTTGACACTTCTAGTACCGGATGGGCGATTCTAGAGAGGCTCAGTACGGAGACTAGCCATAGTGCTGAATGGAATGAGATATGGACGGCAATATCTACTTACAAGGTGTGTATGAATGATCGGTCTTGCGTGTCATCTAATATTTGAACTATAGGCTACTTTGATGCTTCCGCTGGAAGTTCATTCTTCAAATGACCGAATTACGACTGAATTTTTGAGAGATCATATCGTATTAGCCGATGGTCCTTCCAGAGATAATGCTCCCATTATTACCCTTTCAGGCCTTCGAGGACATCTGATAGAGTACGTCATTTTTCAAATACACTATAAACCATAAACTGGCCTTGCAACTCTGTGAACAAGCTAATAGTCTCTTCGCAGAGAAACTTTGACCTTCCGTTCTACACTAGACCCGTCCTCGAAACAATTTCAAGCAATCCTCAACCCCGCGACGAGAAGCTCCGCCCTTACTTCCTTACCTCCTTTACCAGATTTCATCGCCGCTATACCCCCCGAGATTGGGCCGCCATTGCCTACATCCCCTTCATCTCCATTCACGACCAAGGTACCAACTGGACCTAATATAGTATATCCCACATATATTTTGCCTTCACATCATCCCTCACTACCTCTCCCACCTCGGCCTTCTCCCGCTGGTTCACCAAACAAGCCACCTCTCCCCCCTCGCCCCGCAGCAGCGCGCTCTTCGTCACTTAATGTTACAGGCTCCCCGTCACACACGGCAGCTTCTCGACTAGCCAATCCGTTTGCATCATTATTTGGACGTGCTGCGCCTGCCACTCCTCCTAGTCCTACCATTCCCGCGGCACAGCTACCTACCTCACCAGATGCTACAACGGTATCAGATGGCTCGACTGAACAGGTTATCGGAGTTCCTGCATTTACTAGTGCTAAACGAATTAATTTCCGAGATGTAGCACGAGCCTTCATGCGGTCACTGCACTCAGATATTCGAGCCGAACTAGGGAATGCTCCTAGTTGGGTAGCAGAACGAGTAGAAGATTTTGCTACGCGCCTCGGTCTCGTTCCGTATGTAAAGACGAAACCGAAAAGCAAATTAGGAAAGGTCGAAGAGCCTACTGCAAGCCCTAACGCAGGTGGTTACGCTATCGGCACGGGTCCCATATCCGAAGATGGAATGGAAGGTGTTGGACAGAAATTCCAGGAATTCTACGCTGATCTCGAAGAAGAGCTGACGCGGAGAAAGTGGGGTTCCGGTCGAGGTTTTGGTCGAGGCATCGTGCAACATTTGAACGGCAGTGCTACGACAGCCTCAGATAGTGCCAATACGAGCTCAGATGAAAGAACTGTTGATGTGTTTGATGAAAAGGAGAAAGATGTCGAGGAGACGGCGGAAGATCAAAAGGAGAAACGGGTGCATGAAGTGATGGAGGCAGTTGAGCGAACAATATGCTCGTTGTTTTACGACAGGTACGTGTATACTTGACTGACTTTGCGGTGGCGTCCAATTTGAAAGACACGGCGATGTAGGCTGTTCTTGCAACCTTCATCTGACGATGCGAGCCATGATGAAGCGTTGTCAAGCCGGATTGCGGCAGTCAACCTGTTGGATCTTACTTTGGGTCACCTTGGTGTCGAAGTAGGAAAAGCTGGTCCGGAAGTAGCGGCTGTCATCCACGCTTGCGGCGAAAGTAAGTCAGGAAACCACGATCCCAAATCTGTTGCGGCAAATGAATGCTTACCGTGCTCATGTCGCTTCAGCCTTGACCCAACTCGATACTGCATGCAGAGCACCGGCAGATAAAGCCTCCGTACTTGTTGCTGCGCACAAGATCATCGTAGGTATGTTCGACTTTCATCATTCACTGATCCGTTTGTGGTATTGGTACTATCACCCTACCTCATTGTAGATGGTCTTGGACGACTTCCGCCGATTCGGCTGAAGTCCGATGATGAGGAAGTAGACGTATTAGATGACAAGACGCCTAGAGCCTCGTCATTTGCGAAACGAATGGTAGAGGATGAAGATGAAGATGTCAAGGTTTCTACAGAAGCACCCCAGTCTTCTGGTTCTACTTCTCCTCCGATGGTCTTGCATGATTCGGGCGAGATGGTTACGTCTCCAAGTGAAGAGTTTTCTTCATGCGAGACCTTGAAGGCGATAGCACCCGATACGGCTACACCTCCTGGTGACAGTTCATCTGTCACTGCTAATACCACCGGAAGGTCAGGAAGTAATCTGACAGTGGAAGTGCCAGATCGCACCCGTTCACCCAAATTGACAATATCTCCAATTCCTCCTCACACGCCTACCCCCGTTTCGGGAGATATTATCCTTCCACTCATGATCTTCGCCGTGGTAAAAGCCAATCCACCACGACTCGTCTCACATTTACTCTATACCCAGAGGTTTAGGAACCAAGCGGTAGGTGGCGAAGAGAGCTATTGCTTGATCAATCTTCTTGCGGTGGCGGAGTTCCTCGAGAATGTCGATCTGGCTGCCTTGGGTCTAGGTGAGAAAGAGAAGAGCGTAATCAGGTGCGTGTCTTCCTTTCATTGACTTGTCCACGCTTCGACAATGTGTGGGGTACAGAGTGCACGTACAGACGCATGCGCTCTGTGCATTTCACCCTCGTTCTTTGTTACTCTTGACTTTTTACTTCGAGGATACGATACTGATGCTCCATTTGATTTACAGTGCTGCTGAACTGACACCTATCCCGTTACGCATTGGCTCCGAAAATTCATCTCCACGTACCGCTCAACCCAGTCTTCGCGGACGAGTCGAGCAACAAGTCGACGCCATTGCAGGATCAGCGAATAAAGTTATTTCCGGAGTCGTCGACTCTTCATTCGGAGTTCTTCGGGCATTCCTTCCTGGCTCTGAGGATGTGACTTCACCGCATTCGCCTGACGCTGCCCCGTGGAACGCCACCAGACCAGGATTCGGTTTGCTTCGTCGAGATACGGGATTCTCTATAGCCAGTCTCGCAGCATCACTACCGGGCTCCGTGGCTAAGGCGGTGGTGAAGAAAGATGAAGAATCTGGCCAACAACTGGTTGAAGTGCCTTCTCGACCTGCATCCAGTAGGTCAATCCGGGTCGAAGATGCTACTTCGTCTTCAGAAGCCAGTGGCGATGAAGATGAAGATGAGGAAGGCTCTGAAGAGGAAGAGGAAGGGGAATATGATGCGAGGAGTATCAGGAGCTTCGAGAGTATGATGAGTAATCGAAGTGGGAAACGGAGGACGAAGAAACGAATGGCTGCTGGTCCCGGTGGAGTTGGGAGGAAGAGTCTAACCGACCGGTTGGCGAGTATGCCAGGGTTGTCAAGACTTTCGCAATCTGCTCCAGGCGATTCGAACAAAGTAAGTACTCTTCCCATTCCGACTCTTTAACCCTTTAACCTATAGTCGTCGAACCCTTTCCCAACTATTACATGAACGATTTCTTATTCCTGTTATCTAACTGACGAACCTTCTCCTCTCTTCTTGAACAGCCATCTCCTCCGGCTTCTCGCCGATCATCCCTGTTAGTGCCTCACCACCCTTCCGGCGCATCAACCACGCACACGTACAATCGATTCGAGACCCCAGTCTCTTCACGTGGCGCTTCCCCCGTATCTATCCGTATAGCTCCTCCGAACCCTAAGTTCTTGCAGTGTACGGCGGACGATTTGAAGATCTCGGAAGTGGGTGAGCTGCTGAGGGACTACAAACGATTGGCTGAAGCTGTGAGAGCCATGGGTGGATTTTACGATGAGTAAGTGAACTCGAGCTCGGGGGAAGTGTTTTTTGTTTTGTTTTAGTTTGTGCTTTTTGTATATTGGGTGTATATTGGGTAATTGTGTTGTGTTTTTTTCATTGTGAATTTTTTGTGTCTCGTCGATTGTTCATTTGGTAAGTACGCGAGGGAGGCAGAATTTGGGTGATGTAAATTCCATACTTCTTTTTTGTCTTCAACCCGAGTTGACTTTTAGCATTTTCGGAAGGCAGAGTCTATGAGGGAATGATTGTCTTCCAAATAATAGAGGTTGGAAGGGAGCCTAAGGCTCCATCATTACCCGTCTCATTGCTTCGAAATCCAACTCAGTCACCTTTCCTCGCTCAACATCTCGCCATTCGAATTGAATCAGTCGGGTCCATTTTGGTTTTGCGATACCTTCGATTCACACCCGTCGGGCACAGCCACACAGAGCCGCTCGAGCTCTATGGCGCTATAGCCAAGTGGTTAAGGCGATAGATTAGAATCACAAGTAGGTACTTATCTATTCCCCTCTGGGGTCGCAGGTTCGAATCCTGCTGGCGTCGTGCTTCAGCTTGTATATTTTTTTGCTGGTCGAGCATGAACCAACTTTCGTCAGCTATTACTGAGTACTGATGGCGCTGTAACATATCTTACGATATTCGTCATGTTTGGATTTATTATTTTACCTCTGTGGACTGTATTCGTGGAAACCCGTGTCTGTGAATGTTCACCCATCCCATAATCACTTCGCATGCTTCAAATATGTTCCCCCATACCCGCATGTACATCAGCGAAGAGCCCTAACTCTCTCGTACGAGCTGTATCCAGCTTGTTCTCATGACAAGTCAGCTGTTATTTCACCTGACAGGGATCGATTGTAATACTCTCATTTCTTACTGTTTTCTTACGTGTTCTGCGCAGTGGATTGTGTGCAGCAATTGTAGAATGCAGCCACCAAATCGCATCAGCGGATATGATGCGTAGTATTTTTTATCTTATCAGGAACGCCACAACGTCGAGATATGCGGGGGTATGACACCGGTATATTGCGCGTATCGCGATCGAGGTACGTAGCTCTAGTCTCCGCACTCCGATCTCACTCCCTATTTGTTCTGTAGTTATATCACGTAGACATTCGCAGTGCACAATGAATACATTTCCATGATGGAAAGAACAAGGATATTGAAATGGCGGCGATCGCCGCTGTAAAAATACCAAGGTTCGCTGGTTCAATTGTGGAGCAAGGTATCGCGGAAGCAAGTCTCGAGTAGATGATTCGCCGAGTAATTTTGCATTGATGATAAGCGGTACATACTAATAGACCAACCTTGTAGTCTAAGCGGGGATTGAGCGCTTCACGGACTGTTTGGAATGGACGCTCCCTTTTCATCGGCGATGGATGGTAGCTGGAGGTAGTCATCGGACTGAGCTCTTGCTCGTCGAAAGGTCTCATGGGTCGGAACATTTGAGCTGAAACGGGGTTAAAAGAGTCGTATGACAGAAAGATGGTGATTGGAGTGGGCGTCTAGATTAGCAGATAAGATTATGCGCCGGCCGGCCTGGTTGTCAGTTGCTTATGACCTCTGACGACCCACCAATCTGGCCTCGAGTAGACGGGGAAATGGGCAGGTCTGGGGGAGAAGAGGGGTCGTCGAGTGAGAATACAGAGATGAACAGGGTTCTGCCAAGATCAGAGGGAGGACGATGCTGAGAAGAGAGGGGTCGGTGAGCGGCTGATGTGCCAATGGGCAGAGTGTGATTGGCTGCAACGGAGGTTAGATAATATTCGGAGCAGATAACAGACATATCTCCCCCGCCCTTGCTCAGGAATCTCTTTTCATCTCCTACGCTCATCATCAGGCCTTTGCTTTTGCCTCGCTCTTCTCCCCGCCACGTCCCTCACCGTCGTCCTCGTCGTCGCACATAGCGTCAAGCATCTATCTTAGCATCTATCCCTAATTGTTCCCGGGTGATCCCCCTAGACACCCGCTTTAGTACACAATGCCCGCGGTCGTGGTCGAATCGCCCATGCTGAGTGGGCACCACAACAGCTTGGCTGCCATCACCAGCATGCACTACAATGCTCAGATACACACACCCCCTGCTTCAGACCACTCCAGACATGACCTATCTTCAGCACCGCCATCCCCCTCGCTGCAGCCAGCTGGCCAGTCATCTCAGCAGCAATCAAACCCTCCCCCTCCGGAGCAACAGGTCGATCCAGCTTTGGTCGAGCTCAATCAAAACACACAGAGCAATATCGATCCCGCTCTCACCGATAATGCTAACCCAGGTTCTCCCCCCGTCACCTGCGCCAATTGCAAGACGGACACTACGCCACTTTGGCGCAGGGATGCAGATGGTAAAGCAATTTGCAACGCTTGTGGTGAGTTCGTCCCTCTTCATCTCCTCTTTCCATATCACTCTCGACGCGTCCATGGGTCACCTTCGCCACGTGCCTACGCGTCTCCAAAGGAGAACACTCCTTCGGAGGCAAACCATCTATATCGACTCCTCGCCGATCTTGGCCTCCAAGCGCATGGCGTTCGCGAGGTCCTCCTCTGGACTGGGGTGCATCCTGTAAGGAAATGCTGTTGCATCAGGCCTGCATGTCTATCGCACCTTGCTACTGTCTCGATCATGAGCTTTGAACACGGTTACTGACGAAACGTTTGTTTTGCATCTTTCCTCGTGCCGGCTACGACGACGTTCTCCATATCATCTCGCTTGATGCGCATAATACCCGCATTCGCTCGTTCGTACACTCAGGTCTCTATTACAAATCTCGGAAAGTCCCTCGTCCGTCTAAGCTAGGTGGACGGCCGACAAGCTCGAATACGCCTTCTGCCACTCATCCCAACGTTGCTGCACAGCAACGACGGATATCAGGCTCACCGCCAGCCATGCCTACTCCCGCCGCTTCGCCATCGGAGCACCAACAGAAACAGAACTCACAGGATCCTAGCCAAAGCAAGGCTCACCTGGCTGGGACATGCCCTGGAGATGGACGTTGTGACGGTACGGGTGGTACATCGGCCTGCTCTGGATGTCCCACATTCAATAATGCACTCTCTATCATTCAAGCAGTCGCTACAGGCGCCCCTCCTCCCGCTCCTATCCCGCAAAACGGACTGGGGGGTCCGGCCGAGCACTCGCATCCTCAGATGGAGGCTCCAGCTCCTGGTGAACCATCAAGCTCACCCGTCATCAGCGGAGGTGCACCCAACAGCGGTCGCTCGAGAATGCGCAACCCAGTGAGTGCATTGAGTTGCGCAAACTGTGGTACTAGCACAACACCGTTATGGAGACGAGATGATCTCGGAAACAATATCTGTAACGCCTGTGGTGAGTTTATAGGCTCTTTTCTTTCTTTCTTCCCCCTTTCGTTGCTACAATATTCCCTTTCAATGAGAGCCATGAGGCTGTGAACGATGTTTTTCTTTCAAGCGTTCTACGTCCCCGACGTGCTGGAATCGTTTGCCATCCTCGTGTTGTGGTGCATTCAAATCGGCTTTCCTCGCGTGCGGTGTGAAGCCGGTTACTATAGACGCTCCCACGACACTTTGCTTCTTGATGACAGGCTATCTTATCAGATAACGCCATTGGTGGCCTGTCATCTCAGCTGGTCCTGACGATGCCAATTTTGCTTCAGCGGAACCAGACGCGACGTTCGATTCGTGTGCTTGTTCGGCCGTAGATGTTACCCGCTGGAGCCGTTAGAGCCAGTCTCCCAGCTATTCGTTCGCCTCGCATGATGTTTAACGCGATGACCAAAGTCCAACTTAGTCATATGTTTATTCTGGTTCTTATTTCTGGCATGATTGCCAGCTCACTTGCTCTGAACTCATAATAACCACGCTTCCCGCAAACTTTTTTAGGCTTGTATTTCAAGCTCCACGGAACACATCGACCAAATTCGATGAAGAAAACAGTGATCAAGCGTCGCAAGAGGGTTCCAGCAGCACCAGGTGGGTCACCTGTCGCGCAAGATCGGGTTATGACCGACCAAGCTGCAGCAGAAGTGCTCGCCAGCGTCGGCCGCATGTCCTCTGGTGCTCCTCCTGGCGCTGCCGCCACGGAGGATAGCGCAGAGGACGAGGGAGACCGCGACGCTCCCCAACAGCCAAGGCGCAAGCGCGCCAGGAAGAACAAGGCTCAAGACGACGACGGAATGGATGTGGATGAAGGTGAACGCGGGAGTGCCAGTGTTGGTCCCTCTAGAGGTAGGAAAGGTGGTCGAGGTGGTAGTAGAAGGGCCAGTGCTCAACAGCATCCTCCGGAAAATTGGGGTAGTGTCCTTCTGCCACCGGGAATGCATCTCCCTCACGGTGACGCAGGACCTTCGATGATGCACGAACAGGGACCACCTCGTCCTCGAAGCGCGTTCGGTCCAGGACAACATGAAGCAAGATACGGTGCAGGGGCTCCACGTGGGATGCCTTTCCCTTCCAACCCCCAAGGCGGATTCGACCTTCCCTCTATCAATGCTGCTTTAGGCGATAATGCACCCTCTGCGTTGAGGGAATTCGCGAACAACTCCGCTGCTGCATCATCGTACATTCGCTCGGGGTCCGCTGCTGGGTTCCACGGTGGACCTGGCGGACCAAGTCGAACGCAGTCACCTTTGGCTGGTCCTGGAATTAGTGCGCCTCCCCCCCCTCCTCCGGGTCCTCCATACGTTCTTCCCCCTCCGCATCAACATGGTATTGGACACGCCCACGGACATTCGTTCTATGCACACCAACCAAGTACTCCTTCCCCTCCTGTTCCTACACTACAGGATCTGCAAAACCATTATTCCGCATTGGAGCAAAGCAAGAAATGGATGATGGAATTATTGGATAGAACAGAGATGATGTTGACCGGTGTCAAGAGGGGCATTGATGAGATGGTAGCTGGGTCGCAGGAAAAACCTTCTCAACAACAACACCAGGAAAGTGCACAACCACCAACTCCTCATGGTCCATCGACAAAGTCGCCTCGTCCAGATCAGTCTCCCAAACAAAGCAGCCCCGCGGCCGCTCCCGCGATACCAATTGGTCGATCTGAGAAGCCAGCGCAGAGGGAAAGTGTATGGCCTGTTGCGCCTCCCAAATCCCCGAAACGTGATTAGGAGTCTCTAGTTCTCTGTCTTGGTCACCACATCACCGTGGTGCTCGGTCCTTGGCATATTCCCTCATCGTCTTCACCCTATCGTCTCGCCACTATTTCACTATATAACCCCTCTCAAGTAACCTATTACTGTCTTATAAATTCCTCTCGTTGCTTTCTTGTCCATACAAGTTCTCGCTATTGTTGTGCATGTCTCTCGGTCTCCGGGTTCTCATCGCCTTTCTCGCCCCCTTGCCAATCTGTGTCTGTTGGCTTCCGATCTTCTCTCCCCGTTGCTTGTCGCACGTCAGGTCGCAGACGGTTTTATTGTCTTTTTTATTATATACAGTATATACTATATGTTATGGCATGCTTGAAGCGATGGATTCTGTTTATATGTTTTAGTTCTATCTTTTTCTCTCGCCTTTTTTTTTTTGACTTTTTTGTTGTGTATGTGTGTGACGCTTTTTTA